TTTCTAAATCCAAAATGTGCATCCTTGTTACACACCTGAGATCTCATGTGTTTGGAAGCCAACAACAGCCAGTGTTTTAATGCCATCCACCTCACTGACAAGGTCATCTGCACTAAGTTACACTTAATATTTTACTTTGAGCTACTAAAAATACTTCAGTTATCTACAGCCCTGAAGAATAATATATTATAACCACAGCACTGCAGCTATAATATAAACTCAAAGTTTTTAATTGATGTTTCAGTCAGGTGACATTCTTCAGCATAACAGTAAAGTGTTGCACAGGTTTTTAAGTCTAAAGAAACGACTGAAGACCTGACTGAAGTGTTTAAACTTTTAAAGTACAACAGTGTTTTGATGGTATTCTGTTTTGGTGATGTTGTATTATTCCTCAGCTACTGCACATTTTGTTTCACCTGCATAAAAAGGTGTGCAGACCTGTACGGTTAGTCTTGTACAAGCCTGAAAAGAATATCAGATCTTACAAATGATCGAATAAGTACTAATTTGTACATTATTTAAAGATCCACCTCTATTTAAAATTGTTGTCTAAAGTAGCAGAGTGGAAAACAAATGGAAGTGTGTGTGTGTTTGAGCAAGCGTGCACACAGCGGAGTGGTAGAGGAGTTTTGCGACTACTTGCATATTCACATACCAGCGCATACTAAATTAAGGAGGACGCAGAGTCACGTTTTAAGCTATTTTAAGTTTATCTATCTCTTCAGATATCATTTGTTTGCACAGAGATGAGGATATAACCAATGCCTGGAGTGGGACTTAACAGTATAATACACCCATTTGGTAGTCTGGGAAGGTCTTCTTTTTTGGATTCCTGTTTTTGGGAATCTTTAGTGGCTCCTCCTCTGAGCAGCTCAATTCAGTAGTGGTTGTGAAATCATAATTTTTGCATTCCTTCCTCTTATCTGAAAACCATTATTATTCACAGGCATTATAGAATCAAGAATCCAAGCAAAAATTCATAGAACTGAGTTCAGGACCACTTGGGTGCACAGGAAGTGAAAAACAGGTCAACAACAAACTGGAATCATGAAGAACACTGTGCCTGGCCCACATACCAGATCATTTCTGATTACAGATGTGCAATTTGTGTAAACAAAATATGAAATCACATACCTGACTGAATTTTAGTCCATCTGTGCATCTTCCTGCAGGTTTTCATGGCCTCTTTCACCCCTTGATGAGCCCAATACACACAACCATTCTTTACCCAGCAGGACGGTATGACTTCCTCCATCCCTGCGTTGCCTTCTCTCCATACAGCTCTTGCCCACATTGTTCTGGTCTTTTACTAGACAAACAAACACAGAAACACAACGTGAAAGCTACTATTAATGTAAGTATTGCTCATTTGTGGGGATGTGGGATTTTCAGTATTGCACACTTGTTGCACAGAATCTGGTGAACGCCTATTTCTACTTTTTGTGACAAATGTGTAGATGATTAAATAGATAACAGGATACTGAAATAATATTATTTCAGTAATCACAGATGTAGGCTAATAGTAAAAAAGTGGTTATCACAAATAGTTATGAATATAGTTTAAGGTGTGTTCATACACCTGTGGGGTATAAACACCTCTACAGTGAGGAGTCTATGTTCAAAATAACATGTTTGTTAATATAGTCCAACACTAATAATTACATATCCTTAAAACACTGAACATTTGTGTAAAAAAATAAATACCATGTCTAACATAGTTCACTGCCATTAAGCATTGGTATTAGAACAAAACCATTTCCGTATGGAAGACATACAGCTTTCCTCCATAAGTTCCTCTGTTTAAATAGCTTTCATTTTCAATTTCTTCTTTCATCCCTTAAAAGTGCTATGTTGGTAAGTTTAGAGTCACATGCATTGTCAAAGAAACTCTCTATGCCAGGGGTGTTTCATTAAAATTCAAAAAGGTCCAGTTAAAGAAAATTTCCTCAAGCAAAGGTTCGGAACATCATAATTATGATTCAGTGGTATAAACTGTATATCGAAGTAGCCTAGTAGTTATATCAGCAACTGAATGTCAAATCAAATAAAGTGCAATTTAATAATATTTCAACAATATTTATTGTCAGTTTTCACACTGAACCGGAACAATAAAAAATACTCCAAATAAATGTTCTTTTCTCACTTCAAGTAAAAACAAGGGCTGCATTTAAAAAATAAAACAGAAAACTTTTGAAAAAATGTGCAGCTTAATTTTAGAGAAAAGTATATAGAAAGTGTAGTTTGGGTTGCACTATTTCAGCATTTTTGTAAACTCTGTTTCACATCTTAACAGTCTGAGCCAATTTAAAATAAAAAATCTTACATCCTAACAGCTGAACAGCTTCAACACCACCTTTTCTCTTTTTTTGACTCTTGTATCCCCCCACCCCCTCCCCTACCACACACATACATGCACACACTCTTGTTCAGTGAGAGAAGTGAGCTTTTGCTTGTCCTGCTAGGATTTTAAACCTGGGCTGAAATGGTGTCAGGGCCATTCTCATACACATGTGAAGGTGCTCATTGGTGAGCCTGGAACAATATTTGGTCTTAATAATGTTTATCGTTGAGAAAGGTGCCTCACAGTTGTACGTAGAGCCAAACATAGTCAAGATGTACAGGGCTACTCTCTTCAGACCTGGGAAAGCTGTCTCTGAGACCATTTGGAGCCAGACAGTGGCAGTGTCAGCTGCACCAAAATATTCTTTCAGGGCCACATTGATCAGTTGCATCTGAAGATGCCCAGCATTTGCCCAATTGAAAAGCTGTGTGACTTCCTTTGAGAACCCAGTGACATCTGTGATAAGAAAGGGGTTTGAATGAACAGGGTGAGCTGCTGTCCAAGGCTGAAGCTGTCAAAACATTTGCTGAAGTTTACAATCAGCTTGTATGCAAAGTCAACAAAAGAAGATACATCTCTCTCATGCTGAATCTGCTCCTGCACAGTCTCCCCGCAGGTCTTCCTTGAACACCTCCAGGTTCCTCTGGAAGGAGCGGACAGGTGTTGTCAGGTCACAAACTGTATTGTCCTTGCCCTGTAGCTTTAAATTCAGTTTATTCAGATGTGAAGTGATATCAACCAAAAAAAGGCAAATATCCATCTTCTTGTTCTCTTCTAAAAATAAAAAAAGGTATTGCCTTCTGGCTCTTCAGCTGTGCCAAGAAAGTTGCAATTTCCCTTCGGATGGACCAAAGTGCTCCAACACCCTGCCTTTGCTGAGCCATCTTACATTATTATGTACCAAAGTTCATCAGCATTTGCATCAACTTCTCTGAGGAATTCCCTGAGCATGTGATGCTGTTGGGAAGAGGATGCCCTCAGAAAGTTAATCATTCTCATCATTGTGTTCATCACCTCAGCATACTCATCTGACGGGGCGGCACATAGGACTGATTGATGAGTTATGCAAAGGTAAGACATGAGCTCAGGATTGTCCTCTTTCATTCTAGTCACAGCTCTCCCTCCCTACCATGGCAGGGGGATCCATCTATGGTTATTGAGACATCTTGTTTTGGCTCTGTTCCCCTCTGTTGATGATGCTGACATAGGTATTTGCTTGATTTTTTCACAAAAGTCTTCCTTTTTTCCTCCAAGTAAGGTTTCAACTACCGCACTCTAGCACTGACAATCCCTCTGTCAGTAAATGTTATTTTTATGTTGACCTAAAATCCAAGCAACATTCCAAGGGAACATTCGTTATCACATTGTTGAGCAGTGAATGAATGTGTGAGGATTCTGGTGGACTGATCATATTGGGCTGTTAGTTCATTTATTTTCTGTGACCTCAGTTCAGACTTGAGTGGGTATGTTTGCTCAAAGATTTGTGTTTGCTGCTTTTAATAATCGCCATGGTGTCAGAACATATGCGACGTGTTGGTACGATTCTGTCCATTGTTGGTAGAAAGTTCGGTTTTCGTTGTCCACTTTTATCTTTTTAGAGCACGTCATCTATACTGCCTTTCTTCTCAGACTGCTGTTTCTCGCCTCATACCTCCCCTGTGTGCGTCACTCACTAGAGTCTAGATGCTCATCATAATACACAGATCTGTTTGGCTGAGTAGTGTTTTATGTGATTTTTATAACGCATGCGATTGGTGTGTGTTTCTTGGGCTGCTAAACCGGTACTATAAATGCTAGAAAAGTTACGCCGTTTACAATAGAAATACTCCGTCAAAATGAAATAATTCTCAGCAGTTTATTGGTTATAGACCAAGGGTACTTGAGCAAGTGCTGTCAGCTCAGGGGATCAAACCAGCAACCTTCTGGTCACAAGCATGTTCAGTAATTTTACATCAACTCTTCAATGTATAATGATCTTTTCCAATGAACTGGTTCCTCTCAGGACGTGTCCAAAATAAGAGATTATTATTATTATATTATTAGTATTAGTATTATTATTATAGGAGCTTCTACTTCAGACAGTGGCAGTATATAGGATCACAGCTTTATCTTATCATTTTCTGTGCTGTCACAGATAAAATATTTTTATAAGAGCTTTAACAAGATTTTGGCAGACGGGTGGATCAGGTGACAGACAGTCCAGTCTCTGTAGAAGAGGACTGTACGGTGAGGTATAAAGTGATTGAGAGCCTGTGGATCAGAGAGGCCAGTCTCTGTAGAAGAGGACAGGGCCGTATGGTGATCTATAAAGTGATTGACATGCCTGTGGATCAGACAGTCCAGTCTCTGTAGAAGAGGACAGTGCCGTGTAGTGATTAATAAAGTGAAATCATCCTAAAATAAGTACAAGTGAATGGAGATCTTTTCTCAGATCTTCCTCTTCTGCCTAGGCAGCTCATTTCTGGTGGCGCAGGTTTGACGGCAAAAGCTAGAGGCCTGTTATCTCCACACAGAAACTTCAGGTTTTTTTTTTAGCTGCTTTGTGCACAGTCAGTGCAGCATAACTAGAATGTATTCTGACTGGGTTTTGCAGATTCCATTTAAAAAAAGGATTCTGTAGACAGCTTATTATTCAGCGTGGACTCCAGAGGTGAACAGACTGTTCTTTTCTCTTTCATAGCTTTGTACATTCATACTGATTATCCTGATGGACCTGGTCTTTTTCTTTACTGAGGATTGAACCACAAATTGTGACACTGATCTTAGGTATTGTATGCATATATGATGGTAGATCTTCATGAGAGTGAATTTTGTTTCGTGGTGAAAGGACTGGTGCTGAGACTCTGTGTGTGTGTGGGTATATGATACAGCAATGTGCTTGAGTGTTGTACATTTAAGTTTTGTATGTTCGAGTGTTGTATATTTGAGTGCATTGCATCTGTGAGAGTGAAGAGGGGCTACAGGTATGCTGAATGGATGGGCAGTATATTCATGAGGGTACAGTGGGCTACAGGTACACTATGTGGTTGTGCAGAGTATTGATGTGGGGGAAGAGGGCTGTGTCTATGAGGGTAAAGTGGGCTACAGGTATGGTAATAGGTCGGGCAGTGTGTCTATGAGGGTGAAGTGGGCTACAGGTATGGTAATAGGTCGGGCAGTGTGTCTATGAGGGTGAAGTGGGCTACAGGGTATGCTATACGGTCAGGCAGTGTGTCTATGAGGGTGAAGTGGGCTACGGGTATGTTTTACGGTCGTGCAGTGTGTCTATGAGGGTGAAGTGGGCTACGGGTATGTTTTACGGTCGCACAGTGTGTCTATGAGGGTGAAGTGGGCTACAGGTATGTTTTAAGGTCGCGCAGTGTGTCTATGAGGGTGAAGTGGGCTACGGGTATGTTTTACGTCGCACAGTGTGTCTATGAGGGTAAAGTGGGCTACGGGTATGCTTTACGGTCGGGCAGTGTGTCTATGAGGGTGAAGTGGGCTACAGGTATGTTTTATGGTCAGGCAGTATGTCTATGAGGGTGAAGTGGGCTACGGGTATGCTATACGGTCACGCAGTGTGTCTATGAGGGTGAAGTGGGCTACAGGTATGTTTTACGGTCGCGCAGTGTGTCTATGAGGGTGAAGTGGGCTACAGGTATGCTATACGGTCGGGCAGTGTGTCTATGAGGGTGAAGTGGGCTACAGGTATGTTTTACGGTCGTGCAGTGTGTCTATGAGGGTGAAGTGGGCTACAGGTATGTTTTACGGTCGCGCAGTGTGTCTATGAGGGTGAAGTGGGCTACGGGTATGTTTTACGGTCGCGCAGTGTGTCTATGAGGGTGAAGTGGGCTACAGGGTATGTTTTACGGTCGTGCAGTGTGTCTATGAGGGTGAAGTGGGCTACAGGTATGTTTTACGGTCGCACAGTGTGTTTCTGAGGGTGATGTGGGCTACAGGTATGTTTTACGGTCGCGCAGTGTGTCTATGAGGGTGAAGTGGGCTACAGGTATGTTTTACGGTCGCGCAGTGTGTCTATGAGGGTGAAGTGGGCTACAGGTATGTTTTACGGTCGCACAGTGTGTTTCTGAGGGTGAAGTGGGCTACAGGTATGTTTTACGGTCGCACAGTGTATTTCTGAGGGTGAAGTGGGCTACAGGTATGTTTTACGGTCGCGCAGTGTGTCTATGAGGGTGAAGTGAGCTACAGGTATGCTTTACGGTCGGGCAGTGTGTCTATGAGGGTGAAGTGAGCTACAAGTACAGGCTATTATTAGAATATGATTCATCATTCAGTCCTACTAATCAAGATTGCTTTTGGATTTTTGACATATCTTGACATTTAAAAAAAAGAACTCTAATGTATTAAAAATTTTCTTATTAAACAGATGTATTAATTCATTTACTCTATTCCAGACCTGTGAATTAAAAGCCAGAAGTGTTTTTTGCCTTTCGCTCAGCCATTGTCAACAGTGCCTCACTCAACAAACTGCAGGAAGCAATGCCGCTCTCCCCGTTACTGCTGTTTCTGTGGTTATATTTATGTTGTCTGTGGGAGGATAAAGTTCTGTAATATGAGTATTTCATTGATTGTTGAATGCTTTTCATGCTGAATACATATAACAATAATCTGGACAGAGTTAATTTGCATTGTGCATTTATAGATAATTGTGTGAGGTAACTGGGTGACATATTCATGTGTGTGCATTTTCAAAATTCGAAACAGCGTGTATTTTTAAAATTGTTTTAAAAATTCTGGCTGTTTTTTGTGGCCAATTTGTTTATACATAAGATCAGAAAACTCTCCATTAAACTTGAATCTGTTGTGCTTCTTCATGTACAGTGATGAAAGATGGCGAACATTAAAAGCCTTTTACTGGACATTCTACAAGAGCTACAGAACGATTTTATAATGTACAAACATATACTGTTTATTTATTAGTAATCTCATTTAAAGAAATACAGTAATAATTTGTGGTAACACCTTATTTTACAATGTAACTACTGTTAATTAATTGCTGAATAGAGAGTAGTTCTGAACCAGTTTTATATGTTTTTCTTATGTTTTATATTGCAAAGGTAAAAAATCACTAGCACACCAAAAGCCACAATGTTAAACATTTCAGAGCTCTTTTATTTAACAGACATGGTGCTCACATGTAGGGTGCACATATGAAAAACATAAAAGGAAAATGTGGCAGCAAACATTTCAGTTAACAGATTTTCATCAGTGATACACAACGATAATCGAAAGCTATCGTTTTTTGGCTGGTGAGTCATTTGGTTTTTTGAGCTACTCACCCAAACACCTTTATCATATCCACTGCATGTAAGGCACAGTTTTGAGGTCCTTATTATTATTTATTTATTTATTTTTATATTTTTTATATAAAAACGTAGGAAACTGTCAGCACATATGTTGTCTGGGTGACACCTTTTAATGTGTTTTGATTGTATTGAGTTTATATCCCATAACAAGCATTTCTTGTTACCATATTTCTCACTAAAACTAAAACTAGTCCTATAAGCAAGGCGAGGGTATATATCCCAAATACTCCTGTGATGACAAAACAAGACTTTAGAAAAAGAAAAGAAGGAAAATGACAGTGCACGTACACAGCCACAGAAAAAGTCTTTTCTCATTTATTTTTTAGGTGATTGCACTTTCGTTTTGACAGCCTTGTCTTGTCAGTCAGGCCACAGAAAAGAAAAAGAATCTTTATCTGAAGAGAACCAAAGAGCACAGGTGTCCCATCTTATCAGGCTTAGTTTCCGATCTTATCTGCAAAGGGTCGGTGTGGCTGCAGGTTTTCATTCCAACAAAGCCGGACCTCACATGATCTGTTGTTTGAAGACTGACTAATTGATCAAACAAGTGGAATCAGGTGTGCTCCTGCTTGTTTGGAATGATTTAGCTTGAGTTAATGATATTAAACTCAAACTTTTAAATAGTTTGAAAATCTGAGCCGCAGCAGTTACAGACGTCCACAAGGTTCTTGTAATTTGTCATAAAGACAGATTTTGGGTTTCTAAACTCTGCATTATTCTTTTATTCAGTGAGAAATATTTTACCGTTTTCTGTTGTCTTACACTGAAGAAGGACAGACTGCTTTGACACGGAATAAGCATGGACCATCACTGTACTGCTTTTTTCTTTTCTTTTTTTTACAGAAAAACATGGTTTGGACTTCACAACAAACGCTATAACATCACTTCGGTAAACGGTGTCAGATTTCCTCACTGCTTACATCACACATATAAAATAATGAATGATTATAGACATCACACAGTTTAAATCATTTTTACTGACTACATTAATAAAGAAATAAACCAAGCTTTTCATTATTGTTTTTGTCCCTGTCACAGTAATGAAATCGCTGATTTAAGGTAAGAACGTGCCTTTTGCATTATCATGTGTAATTTTTGGAAACTTCATTTCACAAAATTCTAAATGATTGTAGAGAAGTTGACAAAAGAAATGAAATTTGTATTCTTTCAAAACCTGCTTTCAAGTAGGTGTATTCAATTATTTAACTGGTACTGTAAAGCATCTTCATGAAATAATAAATAAAGGAGCTAATTATTTGAATTTCATTTTTAATGCCTAGAGCAGAGAATGTAAACCTGAAGATGGAAGTGAATGATTTAAGGTAAGAAAATACCACAACTAAGGATTCATTTGTATTTATATCATTTAGACAGGAGGATGGGGACCTGCTACAGCAAAATCCTTCCAATTTCCATTACAAACTTAATGTTAAAAATGTGTGACGGTGTAATGGTTTTGGTGCAGTGGTCACTTCCCCTACGAGTGACACAACCTGCTGCACAGACATGCATCACATGGCTGTGTGGAAAGCCATTCAGAATGAAATGGACAAACTCATTTTGGCCAGCTTGACGTTTATTAATAGATATCAGACATTCTGTGAGTGTGGGCAGAACGTCTGAGGCTTCAGCAGAAGAAGAGTTGGAGAAATCCATGCTTCTGCTAAAGTGAAAGTGCTCTTTACTAAACAGCAGCAGAAAAGGTACGTACAAATAACTAGAATGGCAAGAAAGGTCACTTCTAAACTCCCGCTCACAGTAAAGAACAACACAGCAACAACAATAAACAACACAACAAATGTCCCTTTTTATGGAGGTATGGCGGCACGTGGCTAAGATCTGCATACGCACATCTAAAATATTTTCCCCCAAAACTGGAGCCACTGTCCGCCGACACAATATTATAATTTCGTTCATATTAAAACCAGACATCCTAAATGTTAGTACACCAATGCACTGTTATAAAGGTTCTGTGTAGGTATGTTTTTCATTCATCAAGATACAAACAGTGTAAATGTTCCCTAAAATGTATGACAGTGGTTTTAAGGTCTAATTGTGTACCTTAAATAGGTTTGTCCCAGTGGAAAAGTATGTATTTGTACCTTTTTATAACATAATTTTTTAAAACAGAACAATATAATAAAAAGCCTGGAGATGAGACGGGGTGCGTGGAGTCAGTACAGCTTAGAAAATATCATTTCAGTTGATTACGGTACAATTATGTTCCCTGACTAAAGGTACTGAGATGTACCCTTGAGGGAACCACCCCAGTGACAAGAGGGGCACTGCCCCAGTGACAGTTTACTACCTTTATTTCTGAGAGTGTACTATGAACTTAGAAACCATCTTTCAGAAGTTAAGATTTTATCCCCTGCACTTTCTATCATTACACAAATAAAGTTTGAATACAGTCATCACATTTAATGTGTCGGATATGATGAAAATAAACTGCTGAGTCAGAACGAGTCAGTGGTAACAGACAGACATAACAAACAGAAAGACATTTTGCTTTTCTACCAAAAGAAGTGCGGATGGGTGTGAGTAAGATCTGTTTTTCTCATACTGTCTCTGTGTGGAATGAGTGATGGCGAATGTCTTGCTTTTCATTTCCGTGATCATGTTAACTAGAGCGATCACACAGCCTGCGCAAGCAGCACTGAATTCCAGCGGTCAAGCCTGTTTTTCTGTCCCATGTCACGCAGCAAAACACAATAAAAACACAATGAGAATGAAACTGAAAACCAAATAAAAATTCTAACAAATAACAGAAAATCCAGCAAATCATTCATGGTTATTATCACACAAACGCTATTGAACCATTTTGTGCTGCATAGACAAATTCTTATACATCTACAGATTTCAAACAATCACAACTCAGAAAGTTGCCCAGGAAAAACAAAAGCCATACTCTTTTATAAATTATCTTTCTGTTGAATAAAGTAAGTGAACTGACTATTTATCCATTCTGTAGAAGGGTGTCTGTAGAACCTGTTTGCTGTATCACACTGCAGAGTAAAAGCTGTATTAGTGACTGACCAATGCATCTGGGCTGTAGCGGTTACGCTGCTCACATCACACAGACACAGGATGAGTGAAACTGGCCTGATTTCTGTCCATTTGAACAATATGAAGACTGACCAGCCCCACTGCTTTTTGTGATGTGCAAGCAAGGGCAAGCTATTTATAACAAAACACACACATGGAGCAGCCAGTGGGAAGTGCTCAATCAGCTTCAATGTAAATTAATGAACACAGTTAAAGTGCAGATGATGTGAAATGCAACTATTTCTTCTACAGTTAACTAAAGCTTTAGATTAGCCATTATTAACGTCAGTGTCAGGTTAGCTTGAATATAAATATTTATTTATTTATTTATTTTTGCTATGAATCACATGCCACTATGAGCATGCATAAACTACACTTTCACACTGATGTAGAAACTTAAAACAAAAGACCAAACTTGTGAGAAATGGAGTGAACTCCATGTTAGAAATGGAGTGAATGTACAGCACCTTGACTTGGGAAGAAGGGTTTATTTAAATTTTCAGAGACTAAGCTGTGTCTCTATGTAGGTCTGTTTTTTTTTTTCAAAAGATTTCAAATTTGTTAGTCAAAAAACATAAAAAATAAAAATTCAAGCCATCGAGTCTAAGATTTAATGAAAGCAACTCCATAATTACAAAATCGATAATTCCTTCATTTCTACTGGTTAAAGGTGGATAGCAAAGTAGGGAAGAACGAACTGCCAAGACATCTGCGCCTAATACAGACAAAATGGACCACAAATGAACACACACAACCCAAAAAACATCAGGAATCAGGCAGCAGAAATAATCAAGGTAGGAACATTTTAATCTTTTTGGTCACTATTTTAGATGAACAGCATTAACGATAACAGTTTACTACAATGTAAACTGTCCAAATGCACCAAGTAGGAATTAGACATGTTCATGCTACCTTAAACTTTGTTTCAGTTTTCCTTTCACCCCCTCAAAGACAAGGCAAGTTTACTTGTATAGCAACTTTTCATACACATCTGCAATTCAGTGTTTCACACAAACACAGAAACATAAAGGCATTAAATAATAAAGCTTATGATGTCCTAAGATCTAGCACCTCACTAAGCCATTTGCAAAACTAGTTACAACAAATTAAAGTACATTGCAGAGATAAAAAAAAATAGAAAATGAATAAAATAAATGAGTAAAAGAAATGAGAAAACTGAAGTGATAGGAAAATTGCAGCACTAAACAACGTGCAAGAAGACAAGGGCATATTTAAACTTCACTTAAAGATGGCTACACTCTGAGCATATCTGACCTCATCTGGCCATTTGTTCCAGCAGATGGCAGCATAGTGACTGAATGCTGCCTCACCCTGTTTAGTTCTGATTGTTGGCTCTACTAACTGACCGGTCCTAAGTGTTCATAAATCCTATAATTTCAGCAGATATTCTGTGGCTAATTGGTCACCAGTGCAGTGAATGGAGGATTGGAAGATTCTAGCAGCTGCGTTCTGAATAAGCTGTAGCTGTGTGTGGTCTTGGGAAAGCCAGTAAAGAGACCACTGTGAATCCAGCCTGCTGGAGATAAATGCATGAATTATTTTTTCTAGGTGTTGTTGTGACATGAACCTTTTAAACTTTGATATATTATTGAGATGGTAAAAGACTTCATTTCTTTTATTTCATTACTGCTTTTACACGGCTGCTGAAATTCAGATCTAAATCAATTAGTATGTCAGGATTTCTGACTTCTGGCTTTGTGTTGTGGTTTCAAAATGGCTGTGTAAAACAGAAAAAAGGTTCTGGTTGAGTAAAGCATAATCTACACAGCACAGATGGGTGAGACTCATGAACGTGGTGCTTGAGTAAAGTAGTATATGTTCAAAATGGCCAGGTGAGACTGATGAAGGTTGTGGTTTTGTCTGACATAAATTAAAAAAATGACTGCTTTTATAATCACTATGCTGACAAAGTTCTCTACATTACTTGCTGGTCACCTTAGCAAACATTTAACAAAAAACATTTTTATTCTTTTTTACAGATTTAAGACGTGGTTTGGCCATCACACCTGACTCCTCCTGTTCCGGAGCACAAATTCAGTACTTTTCTTTAATACTTTTTTTAATGTTTTGCATGTATCACATGAACAAAGTGCAAAACTATTATTGTTTGTACATTTTAAAGTACAGTCAATTACAAAAACTGCTTTCAAACAGTTGTACTGAATTATTTAACAGTTATGGTAAATCAGCTTTTTATTAGAAAGTAAATTACAGTGATTGTTATCATTATTTGTTAATTTTGTAGATTGGAGCATGAGATCTGCAAAAAGGATGTTCATGATTTAAGGTAAGAAAATATCATACGACTGCTGTAAGACTAAAAGGTTTATGAATACTTTAAAAATTATTGTATTAATTGTTATTCATTAGGTAATAAACAACTTAAAACTGTTAATAAGTAGTTAAAACACAGAAATAAATGGCAGCAGTCACCTGTTTCTTGCCAAAAAGTGAGCCCATATTCATCTATACTGTTAAAGCTCAGATCATGCTTTTTCTTCTCTGTCAGTCAGCATTAAACCTGCCATTTTTTTTATTTATGTGTTATAACTGTTAATCAATGCATTGTTTATTACCTAGTTATGTGTGTTGCTCTCATATATCAAAACTTGTATTACTCAGTTGTTTATGTCTAGCTTTCAGGGCAAATGTACCTTTTCCTCTTTTTTTCAAGAATGGAAAAGGAAGCAGTCCACAAATTGGAGAGGAGTGGAACTTCGTCTGAAGACCTTGCTAATCCTGGCAGAGTATCTAAATTAATAGCTGTGTATGAGGAAATAAATAAGAACCAGTTACCAGCACATCTGGATTTACAGAAAACAAAAGAAAAAGAACTGGATTCAGACAAATCAGAAAGCATCAGGAAGCAGACAGAGAATATGGTTAAGGTAGGAATGTATCCATTTTTTTCAAGTATTTCAGATGAAGTAGAACTAGCAGGAAGTAGCATTAAGAACTGCACTCCTGGGCAAAAAAGGGTAAAAAATGGCAAAACATTGTTTTTTTATAATCCCAACAACAAATCCTTAAATAAACAGAAAAGGGAACTTAATATGGGAGAGTTTTTTCCTTTGGTTTCTTCAACTGTTGGAGTGTAGTGTGTGAATGTGCAGACAGTCTTTTATAGAAAGGAGAGTCAGTATTGATCCACTCTGCACTGATGACTTCAAACAGCTGAAAACCATTGCTGAGCTAGTTTGTGTTTAATGTGAAATCAAATATTATCTATAAGGTTTAAATCTGTACTCTGACCAGTGAGGGCTAAATTAGGGTTATATTTTATCCTCATGTTTAAAATCAACATCGAAATAACAGCTGAAGTATCATTATACCACTCTGGTTTTGGGCAACTCGATTGTAACTGCAAGCTAACGAGCTAATGCTCTGTCCTGAGTCCATGCTGCTGCACTGTTCACATGCATCAAGCAACCAAATGCCAACAAAAACCTGTTACTTGACAGAGGTGTTATGGCTACCTGACACTGAAGCTGAGAAAAGTGGCCTTTATAACTGCTGCCTATTGGAAAAGGTGATTTATGTGGGGAAAGTTATCATCCCACTGCCATCTCATTAACCAAGCTAATAATTCATCATATCCAAGTAACAAAATTTTGAGTAGGTAGCAATGTGATTTTCACTTAATGACATGCAATTTGCTGCAAAAAGTGTGCACTTGTCTAGTATAACACAGATACTTAACTTATCATTTGTGAAAATGTCAATAACTGAAGAGATGTTGATGTTAAGTAATTGCTCAAAAGAGCTCAAAAGTGCTCAGTCTGATCAAATTGATTTATCAGTCAACTCAGGCTTTAGCAGAGCTCAATAATACTGAGATTAATAACTGATCACATTGATTTATCAGTCTACTCAGGCTTTAGCAGAGCTCAGTAACACTGAGATTAATAACTGATCATCACATTGATTTATCAGTCTACTCAGGCTTTAGCAGAGCTCAGTAACACTGAGATTAATAACTGATCATCACATTGATTTATCAGTCAACTCAGGCTTTAGCAGAGCTCAGTAACACTGAGATTAATAACTGATCACATTGATTTATCAGTCAACTCAGGCTTTAGCAGAGCTCAGTAACACTGAGATTAATAACTGATCACATTGATTTATCAGTCTACTTAGGCTTTAGCAGAGCTCAGTAACACTGAGATTAATAACTAATCATCACATTGATTTATCAGTCTACTCAGGCTTTAGCAGAGCTCAGTAACTCTGAGACAGGGAAAAAGAGCCCAGAACACTCTTTATAACAATTCATTAAGTAAGCCTGTTTGATTTGTTTTGGTTGCCTAGCTTAATGTATAAATAAAGCACATTTGTTAACTTTGTTAACTGTGTCTCTGAGTCTCTGGGTTTTCCAGTCAGTGTGTGTTGGCTCTTCCCTAGACTGGCACCATAACAACACCCACACCTATACCAACACACACACACATACACACACACTGTTTGCCAATGCTGTTTCCTATCCGGTGTTGACCAGAGGAGGATGGGTTCCACCTTTTGGGTCTTGGTTCCTCTCAAGGTTTCTTCCTCTTGCTCTTAGAGAGTTTTTCTTTGCCATTGTCACCATTGGCGATGCTTATGGGGGCCCAGATTTTTCTGTAAAGCTGCTTTGGGACAACACCTGTTGTAAAAAGTGCTACATGAATAAACTTTGACTTGAGTTGACTTGACAGACACACAAAAAAATGTATTAGTTAACTTACTGAATTTCAGTAAATAATATGAAATATTTAAAACAAATAAATGTTTATTTTATTCTTGAGTAGCTAAATGACTTTCTTATTGTTTCTACTTTTAGGATTTCAGTTTCCCTGGAATGCAGCGGTGCATCGGTATGTACACAGACAAACACACTTAAAAACACACAGACAATATTCTTACACACACACATTCCCAAACATACACTAACGTGCGCACGCACACACACACACACAAACACACACACACACACACACACACGTACCCAAACCTGTAAATACCTATTCTGTATAATACATACATATATCCTGAAATAATTTCCCATTTTAAATGTTGTTATATAAAATTAAGGGTTGGCCAAGTTTGATGTTTCTACTGTTAGGGTTCTACCGCTCAGTTTGACCATCAAAGGACTCTGAAATGCAGTGGCATGGAGTGTTGCATACACACACACACACACACACACACACACACACACTTAAACTCGCGTATTTTTATATAAAATCCAAAATAAATCTATCTATATATAAACATTACTTCCCTTGCCAAATGTTGTTTTCAAAAATTTTATTTAGTAACCTTGTTAACTTTAACTTTTATATTTTTCTGAGTTCAGAATGTGCCTACGGTGGTGGTATGAGAGGAGACAGAGGAGATGAGAGAGCAGAGTGAACTCTGGGAATGTGGGCTGGAGTTCTGGATGGCTTTTGCTGGGAGCTAGACCCCAAAGAAATCCAAATTAAATTCTGAGTTAGGTGTGATGCAGAATTGATATAGGTTGGTGGAGTTTAGCCTAAACAGGTAAGGAGGTGGACCATGTCGTTCCCACCACCTGCAAGGTCCAGGATGGGGAACCGGTGTAGTGCTGTATACGCAGTGGGAAATGGTGGGAAGGTCCTTGGCAGCATGGACCCTTGCAGTGGAAACTGGCTCTTGGCACATGGAACATGGGGGGGCTTGTGGGGGAGGTTGAAAGGTAACAGTTAGATATAGTTGAGCTCACTTCCACCCACAGTGTCAGATCTGGAACCATGATTGGGAAACCAGGCCGAGCAGGTGCATCCAAGATTTACATCACCAAGCGCAATCCAAAGCGTCAAATGCAGTGGTGTAAAGCGCTGCCACTGGACTCTAGAGCAGTCACGCTTCACCGTCTGGCAATCCGATGGACGAGTCTGGGTTTGGTGGTTGCCAGGAGAACGGTACTTGTCTGACTAGATTGTGCCAAGTGTAAAGTTTGGTGGAGGGGGGATTATGCTGTGGGGTTGTTTTTCAGGAGTTGGGCTCGGCCTCTTAGTGCCAATGAAAGGAACTCTTAATGCTTCAGCAGACCAAGAGATTTTGGACAATTTCATGCTCCCAACTTTGTTGGAACAGTTTGGGGATGGCCCTTTCCTGTTCCAACATGACTGCGCACCAGTGCACAAAGCAAGGTCCATAAAGACATGGATGAGTTTGGTGTGGAAGAACTTAAACTGACCTGCACAGAGTCCTGACCTCAACCCAATAGAACACCTTTGGGATGAATTAGAGTGGAGACTGTGAGCCAGGCTTTCTCGTCCAACATCAGTGTCTGACCTCACAAATGCGCTTCGTGAAGAATGGTCAAAAAGTCCCATAAACACACTCCTAAACCTTGTGGAAAGCCTTTCCAGAAGAGTTGAAGCTGTTATAGCTGCAAAGGGTGGGCTGACATCATATTAAACCCTATGGATTAAGAATGGGATTTCACTCAAGTTCATATGCGTGTGAAGGCAGACAAGCAAATACTTTTGGCAATATAGTGTATCCATGGCCAAAGAAGGTGGCGGTGGTGGATGAAGCAAAATCCAGAGCATGGGAGGAGTTTGGTGAGGCCATGGAAAAAAATTTCACTTGGACTCAGGAGCAGTTGGGGTAGCGTAGCAGGGCTGGAGAAACTCTGATGACAATATGACAAAATGACAATATGGTAAGTGGAGAGAGCACTTTGAGGAACTCCTAAACCCTAAATTGTGGCATGTCAGACTCAGTTTCCCTGGTGGAGGTCACTGAGGTAGTTGGCAAGCTCCCCATTGGCTAGGCACTGGGGGTGGATGAGATTTGCCCAGAATTCTTAAGGCTCTGGATGTTGTGGGGTCATGGCTGACATGCCTCTGCAATGTCACATGGACCTCGGGAACAGTGCCCTTGGACTGACAGACCAGGGTGGTGGTCCGTGTTTTTTTTTAGAAAGGAGACTGGAGAGTGTGTGTCATTTACCAGGGTATCACACTGCTCAGCCTCCCAGGGAAAGTTCATGCCATGGTGATGGAAAAGAGACTTGGACTGATAGTTGA